AGCTCAGTTTTCTGTGCTTTCGGTGCCTGCTCAGCCCTGGCCAGGCCTTTTGTTGACAGAGAGCACCGAGGCCTTTCTCTTTTTCTTAATTTAGAATGGTGTTTTCCCCTCCCCACAATAGAAAACAATGATGATTGCACAGTACAGTATAACCACGAAGCAAAAATGCACTGTATAAATAACGCAGATAAAAAAGCGCTCGCATAATATACAAAAATAGCAAAGAATGTTTATGTATAACAAAGTGACACAATACTAGCAAGGAGTAACATGAAACTACATATATCAGTAATGGCAAGACTACATAAATATAATACAAAAATACAAAAAGTCAGGGGTCATTTCCTGCAGGAGCGCACGGGAGTGGAGCTCCGGCAGTAAAGAGCCCAGGGGGCAGGCACATGCAACAAGCACCACCCCCTGCTCCCAGCAGCCCTCAGTCAGAGCAAGAAGCAGCCAGGTTAAGTTGCAGAGCCCCCCCCCCGGCCCAAAACAGTCCAGTGGCACCTTTAAGGCCAAGTTTTATTCAGGTACAAGCTCTCCCTCCTCTGCGAGGACAGATCTGCATGTGTCCCCCCCCCCATAGCTAGCAATCCAAAACAGTCCAGTGGCACCTTTAAGGCCAAGTTTTATTCAGGTACAAGCTCTCCCTCCTCTGCGAGGACAGATCTGCATGTGTCCCCCCCCCCATAGCTAGCAATCCAAAACAGTCCAGTGGAGCCTGAGCGGTGGGTGTTGCCTTCTGACACACTTCCGGTGATGTCAGGGGGTGTTGCATATGCAAATGAGTTATGCTAATGAGCTCCCGCACCTCTTTTTATACGAAATGACCCCTGCGAAAAGTAATGCAGAGGGTAGAAAGGAAACTGGCACAGAAGACACAGGGACAAAGACTCCGGATTTCAGTCTTCGTTTCGATAGCTCTTCCCCAATAACTTCATTACACCACAATCGGTGCTCCCTGTAAGCTGTGGAGTCTCGTGAGCAAAAATTCTACTTTGTGAGCTACTACTGGCATTAAAAGTTGTGAGCGAGCAACTTGGCTGCTGCATAAATTAGTTTGCTCTGGAGCCATCCTTCCTGGGCGAAGGCAGAAATGTGTGAGCTGGAGGCTAAAAAAACTGTGAGCTAGCTCACACTCACTCAGCTTAGAGGGTACAACAATTACAGTTAAGCCAAACAATTATTATTATGTACTGTGATTGTAACCAGGGCTTTTTTTTGTAGAAAAAGCACAGCAGGAACTCATTAGCATAATAGGCCATACCCAACAGCAGGAACTCATTAGCCTATTAGGCCACACCACTGACCACACAGCTTATTTGCATATTAGGCCACACCCCCATGTTACCAGAAGTGTGGTCATCCAACCACACCCACCTTTTGCTTCTTATTCTCTTTACCTTGTTTGTTGTCAAAACCCAGGGCTTTTTTTTGGGGGGGGGACAGGAACTCCTTTGCATGTTAGGCCACACCCCCTAATTGTAGCCAATCCTAATGAGTTTCTGCTGTTGGGTGTGGCCTATTATGTTAAGGAGTTCCTGCTGGGCGTGGCCAACTTGGGAGCCAGCCGGAACTCTGTTCCTGTGCGTTCCTGCCCCAAAATAGCCCTGATTGTAACCATATCCTAATTTTAAGAGGTAATTTTTAATCTGCATTATTTATACAGTGCATTCTTGCTTCCCTTCCCACAAACCTGGAGTCCTCTGGGTATGCAGAAACCTTGCCTCATCCGTGGGTCGTGTCAGTTTGCTATCGGAGTGACCAGCGTGCGCCGCACCGTTTTTCTCTTCTGTATAGTGACGGGTGGTTTGTGAATGGGGTTGCCAGGTTCCAGGTAGCCCCTGGAGATCTCCTGCTCTTATCATTGATGTCCAGGCAATCGAGAAGATCAGTTCCCCTGGAGAAAACGGCTGCTTTGGAGGGTGGACTTTATGGTGTTGGATGCAGCCAGCACGGAGGTATATCGTGTCCTCGCGAGGGACCGCCACCTGCTTGATATCCGCTTGCCGTAGTCGTTGGGGTTTTTGTGTCGCAAAGAATGCCGGCTTTCGGAGGGCCTTTCGCGTGACCCTGCAAGGCACTCCTTGTTTTCTTATTAAGAAACACTTGAGTTCGATTCACACAGCTTATTTAGGACTCGGGGCGTCCCGAGGATGCACTCGCTTTTGTACATTTAAGACACTTCAGGGGACTGTGATTTTGGAATCGATATATAAACGTGGAGGTCGTCGGAGGGCTGAAGCCCCCTGGGTGGCCGCGCCGAAGTGCTTGGTCCCGAAACACTTCTTCTCTCACCCTGTTCTGAAACGGATGTATCTTGTAAATGTCTCCAATGAGTCTCCCTGGATCCGTAAAATAGGAACGCCTCTGATGCTTCTGGCCTACATTAAAAGCCCCAAGTATGTAAACCGGAGAGTCTGTTTCGATTTCGAGTTCCAGACCTTTGACCTGAGCGGGTGGTAAAAACTGACGTCAAGTCGTAGCTGATTTTGGGCGACCCCGTAGGGTTGTCGAGGCAAGAGACGTTCAGGGGTGGTTTGCCTTTGCCTGCCTCTTCGTAGCGAGCCCGTAGGTATGGTGGGGCTATTGGGGGGGCACCGCCCCCTTCCTTAAAGGGCCAGCCCCGCAAGATTTAAGTTGTTTTTTAAACCTCTCCAGTCATTAAGACCATTTCTGTGGATTGTCTTTTTGTCTATATGGTTTGGAATGGTTCAGGGCACAGTAAGAACATTAAGAGAAGCTAATGTCAGATCAGGCCAAGGGCCCATCCAGTCCACCACTCTGTCACACAGTGGCCAAAAATACCAGGCGCTATCAGGAGGTCCACCAGTGGGGCCTGAACTCCAGAAGCCCTCCCACTCTTGTCCCCCCAGGCACCAAGAAGGCAGAGCATCACTGCCCCAGACATAGGAACATAAGAGAGAAGCCAATGTTGGATCAGGCCAGTGGCCCCTCCAGTCCAACACTCTGTGTCACACAGTGGCCAAAAATACCAGGTGCCACCAGGAGGCCCAACAGTGGGGCCAGGACACTATAAGCCTTCCCACTGTTTCTGCCCCCCCCCCGAAGCACCAAGAGTACAGAGCATCCCTTGCCCCAGATCGAGAGTTCCTCTCTGTACTTTGTGGCTAATAGCCACGGATGGACCTCTGCTCCAGATGTTTATCCAGTTCCCTCCTGAAGCCGTCCATGCTCGTAGCCGCCGCTACCTCCTGTGGCAGTGAATTCCAGGTGTTAATCACTCTTTGGGTGGAGAAGGACTTCCTTTTATCCGTTCTAACCTGACCGCTCAGCAATTTCATGGAGTGCCCACCAGAGTTCTTGTCTTGTGAGAAAGGGAGAAAAGGACTTCTTTCTCTACAGTATCCTAAAGTATTGCTGTAGAACAGAAGATAGACACAGTATGCATCTGAAGCAATGGTAAGTTGCTTCCGGTTCCTAGTCTTTAGCCTCACCAGAAAAAAAAAATTGCCCCCCACACGCCACAAAATCCTGGATACAGGGCTGCTGCATAGCAGAAGAATCTCCATTACAGTTGTTGAAGACTGTCCTCGTAGTTGACTTCAGATGTTCACAGTGTGTTTTGACTCAGAAATCCTTTCCGTGAAATACTTTGAATGGTCCCAAATTAGCCCCTTTAGC